TAAAAAAAAATCGTAGAATCATATTAATAGAAGAAATACATTGACTGAAGAAACATTATAAAATATATTTCCATGTTTTTCGAGCCCTTAGAGCAATTGAACAATAAAAATGACTGATAAGCAAGTAACACGATAATAAGTTAACAATTATTGTGAAAAGGTAATATTAAAATACTACATAGAATGTGAACAAAACATAAAAAGGGAGTGGTTTTAAAATTTTCAATTTATAACAATTTAAATATGAAGAGAAAACCAGTCTATCAGACATTGCATAGAAAATAATACCAATAAACCATAAAGTCAAAGCAGTGAAATTACAGTACATTTTACAAAACTATTGATAAATTACAACAAATTGAATCAAAGATTTACAGGAAACATTCTCGATTCCATAGCAACAATGTTACAAGTATCTAAAGACACATATCGTCGCTTTATTACAAATAATGACTTAACACATTTAAGAAAGAGTTCAACTTTCAAGAATGTTTTAGTAAATTTTGAACATATTTAGTCATATAAAAACATTGTAAGTGCAAATAAATGACACAAATCCTTGTATTTAACAAATATTGTTACAAATACACAATTTCCTGAGTTCAAAAAGGAAAAATTGATTTATAATCCTTAATAATTTAAGTTATTGAATGTCGCTTAATGATTTTTTGCAATAAACCGATGAAAAGAAAAAAACTAGGTTAATTTTTCTAAACAAAATCTTTTATAGCTTTTGAAAACACTATGTATACGTAAAGCAGACATCTTCGGGTAAATATTATCTTAATAGTTTTAACATTGAAAAGAATGAAAGTTCTGATGAGATTGATAGATAACTTATCAATTGAGCTATTTGTATGTATTAAATATAACCACAGCCAAAAGTATATTGTTCAATAGTATTTGGTAGTTATAAAAATATTAAAAGAGAGACTATGCCCTATAAAATCGCTCACAGTGATAAATGTCAACATAAAACTAAGTGTTAATAAACAAAAGTAAAGAGCTGTTAAAGTTAGTATTACTTAAGTATCTTCAAAATATGCATTAGAAGAATTGAAAATAGTCTGTAACTTTCGATTTAACTATAAAGAAAACTTATCACTTCTTTGACAATAATTGAAAACAAAACAGTACTCACTTTGAACATGAAAGAGACCGACAGAAAATTGACATATCTCCGGCATTTGCTTGAGAATTTCCTCGGTGACTAAATGAACACCTCGGTGTTGAGGCCTTAGGTTCATTTTCCTCTGAAACCATGCAGATCCGATTTGTATTCCCCTGTTGGAAGAAGCCATGGCTGTGGCAGTCTCCTCTACAAAAGTCGTCCCTCTCCGCGTCCATAAAATGCTATAATATTTTAGAAACCTTTCGATCAAATGGGCTAGCTTTCATGGCACTTTGTTTAGGTGGAGGCGGCCACAGGAGAAATAATACGGGAGGAGGACACTCGAGTTGATGGAAACTGCACTTTCGGCTCCTCGGCAAGATAAGCCTGCCTTCGGTAGCAGGGCACTGCCATCAAGATATCGCTATCAATACACCTCCCTCTCCCTGCTAGGTTATCTTATCAAATACGGACCCGATAAAATATAAAAAATAATTTTATTTAAATACTATACAATTAAAATATAAAAGAACAATTTAAAATTGTTTATCACTCTGAAACATTGAAAATAATAAATGAAATATCTCAAAATTGATCAAGACTACTCTAACGTATAAAGTTGATAAAATTCATTTTTAAACTTTATAATAAAAATTTAATAATAAAACTTTTCATATATATTTACGAAAAATAGTACAAAAAAAAGTTAAGATATTATTCCGAGATTCCAGAAAAAAGCCTCAAGCCTCTCAAAAAGCAGGAAATAACCAAATTCTCAGTTTAAGAAAAAAAACTATCAAACAAATCCATAACAAAAACACATTTCACATCAACAGTTAAACAAATAGGGATCACTCTAAAGCGGTTCAACATATAATGAATAAAAAGGATATTTGAGAGGATCAAAGCTATTTGGAAAGAATAAAGAATCAAAAGAAAAAGTGGAAGGCCCCAAGATTATTGAAATTATGGTCAATATATACCCTCAAGATTGGGATTACTGTTTATTAGAATACGTAATGACATTAGTTTTTATGGATTAAGTTCCGATTTTATAGAGGAAATTGTTTTATTTATGGAGGTCATCCTTAATATAGCTGCAAACAATTTCCTGCCTCAGCTAGGCTCGACTTTAGGTGGAAAGAATCTTACTTGGGAAGGCTACTCTTTCGCGTGATTCACGAGGAAGAGGTTTCAATAAAATAAGATGGTGTGTGTGATAGTAAGGCTCCAAATGTGATCTTTAGGCTCCTTTCGCACTTCACCGGTTTCGTGTGGTATTGTTCCAATCACAGGCTGTGTTGTCGCCGTATCACCATTTCCGAGTATTTTTGATCAGATTTTTGTTCGGACAGCTGCTATTCATCATTGAATTTGGTTCTTATATGGTCTAAATCTTACTGCATTGATCATACGGCACCGGACAAATATTCTCTGATTAGATCTGTACCGCATTAAGTGTGAAAAAAGATTAACAAACCGATTGCAGATTACTTTGTGGAGGACGAAACATTTTAATTTCTTCCTGAACTTAAAGTGAGCAGATTGTACCTAAAGAGTTACTCAGGCAGAGTGACTATTTATTTGTAGTCGTAATTCTCTTCTCCTTGCAGTTCTGAGCGAATTCATTGTGGGCCACCCAAAACTTCAGGTAGGTGGTGGGTTAACCAGAGATTAACGACATAATTTTATAATCTCTTGCACCTTCTGGATGTGTTCTTTTACTCCCTCCATTGCTCTTATTTTTCGAGTTACCAAGTTCGTGGCGTGCGAAGATCAAAGTGATATTCTCCAAACATTTATTCTGAGCAGCAATTATGTTTTCACCATTCCCTGTGAACATAAAGTTCTTAATTTGCTTATATCCTTCTTCTCCATTGTATATAACATAATTTCTTAGAGGCACAGAGCTGTGTGATTTGAAAATAGTCGTGCCTTGATGCCAACCGGTACTAAAGGGTGGTTAGCATGTAAATCCTGTTTCCACCTAGAACTAAGTGAACAGTCGTTCTGAAGAATGGAGTGGTTGTCACTGAGTCTATCCACATCTATTTATTTTTCGATAGAACTTGGCAACTATATCTTATTTGATGAAAGATTCATCTTTGATTGTGTTATTGAAATATGAGGATAATTCATTCATCGACTATTTGGAAATATCTTCATCAATATGAGAAAAAATGAAATACATCTATTGCTCTTGGTAATAAAGCGTTGATAAGCGATTGATGCTTATCATAACATTAAACAATCCAATACCTCTTATCCAAAGAGGTATTTGACAATACCTTAACAATTATAAAGCCGTGTTTACGCAGAAGCATTCCACCTGCCTCGGCCCGATCCTAGAGTTGTCCTTATTTCAACGTGAGCACTTTGTTCGACGTATACAGGAGAAGGATGTGACTTGGATTGGCACAATACGAGCCTACTTACCCATTCTGGCACTTAATCATTTCATATTAGTGCTAACCTATCTTGAACTGGTGTAGCAATTGTTATTTTTATTCTCCCTTGTGTTCAAATGAAATTGTTTCTTACCCTTCTAGATTACTTACGAAATTACATTATAATACAAAACCCCAAGTAGGAGTTTTATTGAAATAATTAAAAAAAAACGAACATGCTCATGTTATCTTACGATTCAAGAGGAAAGAAAATGGGTGCTTATTTGTTTTTAGTAACTAATTATATAAAGTTTGCCGATCATCAGATTGAAAACAACCCAATTCCGAAAATTTTCGTAAATAAAAAAGTTTTGGGTTACGATGAGATGAACCTATTCACGATATTTTAGCCGAATGTTAATATTTTGATGAAAAGGGGTCTGTACAACGGATTATAGAGATTACGATGGGACGAGGGGTCCAGAATGACTGGTTCTGAACATCATGGGATCGGTTAATATATGTTTCTAGGTGGCCCAAGGAAATGAATCATGACACTTCCACTCTGTTAAGTAGGCGTAAATGTCACAAGGTCGCAGTCAGGGGTTGTCAAAAAGAATCTCAAATCAGATTAGTTCCTCCCCACCAGTAGCACTGCACCTGGGTTAATAGAACAGCAAAAGAACTTGCTGCTAGGAATGTATTCTAAATATTAAGTCCTGAGATTACAGTATATTTTATTAATTTTAAAAATATAGCCTGAGGAAACTGTAAATGGTTCAGCTACGTCTGTCTAGAGATGGATATTTAGTTGCCGGTTTAAATTATAAGTAGTCAGGATTTGCAGTCTTTAAACGGCTCATTGATTTATCTAACAAAAAGAGGGAGATAGAGTAGCTCAGCAGATAAGGCATTGACTTCCTAAGCTCAAGATCATAGGTTAGAATCCCACTGATGATGGTTAATGATTTATACTGTTTCATCAGATATGGATCAAGTCTCCTATGACACCTCTAAAGGGGGTACTATTAATTAAATAATTAATTGGGATGAAGTAAGGCATTGACTTCCTAAGCTCGAGGTTTGAGTCCAACTGTTAACAGTTAATGATTTATTCTGTTTCATCAAATATGGATCCATCCTAGGGCACATCTAATGTGGGTACTCTTAATTAAATAATCAATTAAATTAAAACCTGATGGTTGAACATGATTTCGGCCCAATCATATCCCAGCACAACCTTTAGCCTTGAAACGATACTTTCAAGACCTACCAAGAACTCAATCGAAGACCCTTCATAAGTTGCAGCAGTGTTTTTTTCTCCAAGAACTATTACTAACCATTGATCCAAATCCACATACTTTGGTCAAAAGGTCAATAAGCCTAATAAACCGTATGATTACAAATCCTGATTATTCGTCATCCTCATCAGTTTTATTATATTAAGATTTAAGCCCTTAAATTTTTTGATACAGCTTAGCAATATAAAATAATTAACTGTATACTGCCAGATTAAGCACACTTTTATTACAATTACAATGCCACAAGTGAACAATTCTCTTCAAGTATAACAGCATTTGAGTTATAATGCCGAACAACCTGCAAAAATATCAAATTTTATTTTGGTAAAAATTATATTTTGTAGTATTCACTAAAGACGATAAATATTTTAATAAGTAAATTGAGAAAATGACAATTTACAGTTTTGTGTAACTGACAACACTGATTTTTGACAACACCATGATACTCTAATTTCTATTCGAGTTTAAATAACTCGTGACAATAGACACAAGGATATGTTTATTAGATATTGGTAAAGACTGAACAAGACAACATTCATTCCATTATGTTGCTTTATTTTTTAAGATAATATTATAGTTCATTATTTAAGATTTGAAAAAGTCATCAGTGGATAAAAAGTAATTTCAAATAAAAAATAAGACTTTACGAGCTTAAGCATTCAATACAGATAACACAGACAATTAACTTTACATCAAAGAACACAAATCTACTAAATCATATAAATTGATATTTATCTGTTAATTCATTGCTAATATTTTAATAATTCTTTCATTATCTCTATGTATTCAACTTTTCGTTTATTTTGGTTTTCTTTAATTTGAATAACACTACTTTATGAATACTACTTATTAATAGTTTATCATAGGGCTGAGGAAAAACCACAATATACTAATCCATTTGAGATAATAATACTATATGTGCAATTAATACCCAATAGTTACTAATTGATATAAGTAGCTGCGTCCCAATACATTACTACTTCCATAACTTACAGAAAAAGCATTAAATGATTTAACAATTTTTTTCAATATTGTCGCTTCGCTAATCACTCTAGAAATTATTATTATATATTCTCTATAAGTATATAAATAGTCCAGAAGATCCTCAAACATTCTAGACTTATTTAAAATTCCTAGAGAATACTTCAATCAACATTGCCAAAAAACCAAGCTTTATTTTACACATTGCTTTAAGTTCTCGTGATAATCTACAATCTTATTTGAAACTTTGACTAAATCAAAAAATCCATAGGAAGATATCGTCAGTTTAATGCAAAAAAATCACTAACTCAATTTTTGATAGAATTAAACTATTAAGAACATTTCTGTGAATTTTGATATGAAAAAACAATAAATGCTAATCATAATTAAGTCATTATGACTAATGACTAAAACCGTTTTATTTATCAAATATAGTTTAATTAGGCATACAATGTTCTGATTTCATAAAGACAAAATTCAGTAAAAATCAAACTTAGTAATTTCATTTTCTGAAATATTACCTAATGACTTTTAAACCATAATGGTTTAACGTAATAAACCGACGATATGTAAGTTATATTTACCTTGACTGATCATTAATAAAAATTACACACCAATATTATTTACAATATTCTTAAGAGATATTGATCAGAATCGACATATATTCATTCAGAAAAACAATCTGTTCTATTGAGTCAATGTGTAATAGAAAATTTAACCTTGACATTTTACATTAATTCCATTCTGGATCGCTAAAAGGTCAATTCCTACCAGTCAAACTTTAATATAAAATTCATTTAAATCAAAAAAAAAAAAAATAACAGAAAGCTTATGATATAGATGAAATCAAGAGAATAAATTAAATAAGGATGGATTCAGGAAATATAAATAAAGTATGAACACTATTTTTATTTGCGAAAATTTCATCAAATTTGCTAAAAGTTTGAAACTTTGACAATAAAATACAAAACCAAAATTTTTCTAACAAAACATAGAATATCCATAAATATGCTTGTTTTTATTTCAGATTTCTTTTATCAAGTGGTAACATAAAAAGAGAAAAAAAAAATACAAAAAATGTTATAGGAATGCAAATACAATAATTTACTCTTTTTACAAAAAAAACAAAAACAAAAAACTTTTAAAATATTCAGGATATGACTATGGAAGGATGTAATTAAAATTAGAGTTTTTATGAGCAAATCGAACTAATTCTAGAATAATAATGAAAGACATGAACATGTCAGGACATATAACAATCTTGAATTCTATAGAAATCAAATGCCATATTTATCTATACAGGGAAAGTTAATATATTGCTTTCATTTATTTTCTTATAAAAGGCATCTTGACAAAAGGCATACATTATCAAATATCAGAACCAACAATAGACATAGTAACTACATTTAAATATAAATTCTTCCTATTCGAATGAAGCATTATCACTACGCTACAATCGCATTTTCGGACACAGCCAAGAAACAATTATTATACATAAAAAATAACAAATTTATTTCATACCTAACAATATATCAAGTCTTTAGCGAATTAATAGAACAAGGACAAGAAGGCACTTTTTCCTTAAAATATTATCAAATTATCTTAAATGATTCGAGATAGATACAATTTCTGAACAATAAAGTCATTTTAGGCTAATTGGAACATTCTTATATTTACTAGTTACTCTTCTCAATTTAACAGCTAATGAACGTGCTGAGCGTGGTTTCGAAATGGAATACTTTGGCGATCGCGACATGTGCTGTACAGGTGTCGCCTTCGATTCATCACTGAAAATTCAATTTCTATAACAAAAGTAATTCATAAATAGGAAACAGAATTTTAAGAGAGAGGAAATCAGTTTTTTTTTTTTTTTTTTTTTTTTTTTTGACGATACCTCAAATACAACTACAATACAAGGCAAACAACCCATTACATAGACATAGCATGCGAGTGCAGCCGTAATTACATTAATCAAAAGAGTGCAACTCTATTACAGCCTCATATTTGACACCCACCTTCATTTCATATACTTCCATTTAATACTACTTCACTGGCATTATCTAAGTCAAAAGCATCACTGCAGTCATTACTATCTCTCCTGAAAGTATACACTGGTACAGAAATTGTAAAAATAAACCCAAGCATAATTTTAAATATAAAATGCATTGAAACTTATCTAAATAAAAAGTTTAATTGTTTAAATAAAAAAATATAAATACAAAATAATAATAATTCAATTAGTTTTTATAAGACACAGCATTTCAAAGCCAATTGTAACCTTTTCCATTTCAAATGTAATACTTTCCAATTCAAATCTAATCTTAAAGGGTTACATTAGAAATGGAAAAAGTCACATTTGAAACATAAAAAGTTACAACTGGCATAGAATTGCCATAAACGTCTTTTATTTATAAATATGAAGAAAAAACAGTTAATATCAAGAGATTGTAATAAAACATAAAATAAAATAAAATAATAAGTTTCAATGAATTTTTGTAGTAAACAAAAAATAAAATAAAAATCGAAAACTATACACAAACACAATAAGCCCTCTTATACAAGCAAGTCATACAAGTAGATTGTAACATTTAGGTCTAGAACAAAATATGTATGTATTTATTATTAAAAAAAATATCTATAGATAATAATAATACATGGTTAAAGTGTTAAAGAAGGAATCATGATCCACTTTAATCTTTTTATTTACATAAAATTAATGTACCATTTTATATTAATATGTATTGGTCAATAGAAACATTTTTGTTACTATCACTAATGATTATCAAAAATAGAGGCAATATAACGATTTGTTTCAATCTAAAATGAAAAATCATTTCAACATAAGAAAGCTAAATATTTCTAAAACTTCTGATTTTAATTTCTACAACTAAATGTAACAATACAATAAATGTTAACGATACTAAACATAATGATATGGAGAATAAATATTTAACATGATGATGAGATAAAAGGAATCACGAAGAGCTTCAAAAGTATACAAAGTACTGTATACTTCACTTAAAGTTATCAAGAACTAAATTCTCGAGTATTTTGCTACATTATTGATGCTAAAAGACAATCCCAAATTTATGAATTTCAGATGATCCAGTCCTTAAAAATATATAATTTGGTACTCAATTAAAGCTAAAAGTAGGCGTGCAGAAGATTTGTTGGCAAATTGTGGAACTGCGATTAGACCCTTAATCCTCTATGCGACTGTAGTTTGGTGGCATAGGGCAGTTGCAAGCAGGTCTAGAATGACTGCTTGGTAAGCTTCAAAGGCTTGCATGCCTTATGACGACAGGAACTATGAGCACTACTCCCACTACTGCAATGGAGGAAGTTCTTTTGAATCTGACTTTGAGCCATTTAGAGGTGGAAGCACATGCTCTCAGAACGGCCTATAGATTGGATAAACTGGGAACGAGATCGAAATTGCTGACGTTTCAGGGACATGGGATCGTTTTTGATAAGATTGATAGCAATGAGGTACTTGTGATGAACTCTGACCTTCAAGTCGATAATTATATATAAAGGTATACAATATAATTTGAACATAAGCAGGAATAACTCACATAGACCATGTAATGCAGCTAACTGCTATATCGACGGCTCCTTAATGGAGCAGGGATCAGGGGCTGGCAACTGGAGAAAGGATAAACCTAATGAGGGAATATTCACATCTCTAGGTAGATATATGTCTGTCTTTCAAGCCGAGATTTTAGTCATCGATTTCTGTGTTCAATCACTTATTAAGGAGAACATTCTGAATAGATCGATAACAATATATAAGGATAGTCAAGCGGCAATTGGGGCTCTGAATAGTTATGCAAGTTGTCAAAGTTGGTGGATGTATGTAAAGGCAATCTTAACCTTCTTTGTAGTACTAACAAGGTGAGGGTAGAATGGGTACCTGGGCACTCAGGCATTCCAGGAAATGCCTTGGCTTTGCCAAAAGACATATTAAGGTAATCGTGGGCAATAAATTTATGCTACATTGGGAACAGGCTAGGAAAAAAACTCATTCAAAGTTATTCCTAGTAGGGCTCTGTCATAAGAGAAGTAATTCACTTCTTCTAATAGACAGGAGAACCATTAGGTGTGTGACAGTACTGTATACTGGTCACTGTCAATTAAATAAGCACCTTTTCAATTTGGGTCTAAGTGAGACCTCCAGCTGCAGGCTATGTGGTCTGGAGGATGAAACGGCTTATCACATTATTTGTAGATGTGATAATTTGGCTAGACTGCGATACTTTCACTTCGGATGTGATCGTATCACTGACCCTAAGCACTGCGAACTGATTGATCCTATTACTTTATCCAACTAGTATTAACATCCTCCTATTAGTGTGAACATTTTCATAAAGACATCTGGCCTGTTTTAATTGAGTCTAGGACGACGCACAATAGGCCTTTTTTGAAGCCGCAGTGCACCCTTATGTCGGAAAAAAAAAAAAAAGAAGCTAAAAGTATAAATAAAATTATCAAATCATTTTTTCTATAATGGGCATCATATCATGGTTTTTATGTTTCTAAACGTATCAAATTAGTAGGTAAAGAGTTGCTATAAAAGCCTTCTAAATTTTATTTTCATTTAATATTTTAATAATTTTTAAACATCTATTTATTTTATAATTGTTTATTCTTGTTTGGTACATTTTTTTTTTCCATAGAAACAAGTAGTTAAACCACTAACTGTTTCATATTATTTTCAACTATATTTTGAGCACAACGTGTTATAAAATACAATACCAAATTGAAGTATAGGTAGCAATAAAATTAATAAGTAACAACTACCACTGTATATAACAGCCAAAACAAAACCCTTATATCCATAGATGTGATATATAAGTAATTATATCATTATATGGATCAAATATATCATTTTAACCAGGCAAACTTGGAAAGATAATCATGAAAAAAACCTCAATAAAAAATCAAATAAGGGTAGAAAAATCTCATAAACAAACCGACCGAGAATAGCAACGAATAGTGTTTTGTGTATTTCCGGCAACTTTGATAGAAGAAAATAAAAAGCTTTTTTTGTTTTTATAATGAGACATCTTCTTTTCGACTAGATTTCTTTTCTTTCAAGTGTAGAGAAAAAATAAATAATAAAAGACATACTGAGACTCTGTTTAATTGAGGGATGTTTCTGACCTGACTGTCCTTTTAATGTTTAAGATGTTTGTTTTCATGTTCTATGGTTCTCTTGTTTCTTCCAACATTCGCAAAATCTGAGCATCTGTTCTATTCTTGATTCTTCTATAGTTCGTTCAATTGTCTTCAGCCAATGGTCGGCTAATCTGCAATCGGACAATTCTCGATTCCATTCACTTTTTTTATATCCCGAGGAGGTCCTGGAGGATTAAAGGTCAGGTAGAGAGCTAAAGTTTTGACGACTAGTAGATCTACCCCAACTGCTAATATAACAAAAGCTAGGCTGAAACGTATTTTATCATTTCTTTCATCAGTCATCTATGCTGTTTTTGTTTCCTTTTTTCTGTTATCTATTCTTCATTACGACCTCAACATTTAATTTTTTATGTTTCTTATTATCCACTAATTTTTGAAGTGCTGAATATTTTATTCATATGGTGATATTGTATAAATGAGAACCCCTTAAAAGTCTTGACGTTATTATCATAATTAAAAACTAGTATCAAAATAACTTATAACAAATAATAGAACCTATTTAATGTGTATTTAAAGCAATAAATGATTGTTTATTCATTTATATAGGTCAAGATCAATATGACATTGATATACAGCATTAGATGTAAAGTAAATGACAGAACAAGAACGGGGAAATTTTTCTTTAAACCAACCAATACTTACTTTATCGCCAAGGGCAAGGTTAAGAAGCAGTTGCCAATACATCCTGTTCATAGTTTTAATATGTTTATGGGATTTTTTCTGTAAAGATTCATTTTCTCAAGTTGATTGATTGAGTTGATTGATCCTGCGTACATTAGATGGCTGTGTTCTGGGTCAAAACTGAAAGACACAAGAGATAAGCTAGCTAGGACTAGCATTTCAAAACTTTTAAAATAATTACATTCAAGACAAACCACAGCTAATTATGAACCATCAATAATTTTATAACTGATATTAAATATATAATTCTGTATCCTCAAATCAGACTAATTCGAAGAGCGTAAAAGTTTCTATACATATGATTATATCTGAATAATGTAATTACTGTCTAGATGTAGTAATTGTCTAATAGAAAATAAAAGTGTAAAAACAAAAACAAAATTTGGATTTTTAATATTATTATTATTACGTAGTGTTGCATTCCGACACCCTCAATGAGCTTCTATCATTCTTCTCTCTACTGAACAGCCGTGTTCCAATCACGAACATGTAAAGGATCTTGGTTTGAAGCCTCATCTGCCACCCCACACATCTAATGCTTGAGAATCTCCAATTCTTCAGCGTAATGTAGCTCTTCACTTCAATATATACATTCTATGGAATCTCTGCATATACCATTCTCACCAATATTCGGTTCAGTTTAGGCTTTCTAGTTTAAAATAATATGCTTCATTATAATCACTCCCAGAGTTGATTAAGTTATCTCTGTTGTTCTAAATAATGTTCATCATTCCATTAATTATTGAGATGTATGTTACGTCACCATTTATTTTCTATAAAAGGAAAATATTTTTAATTTCACCCTCCACTTTCAGTCAATCAAATATTCAGCACAATCATAATCTCAAATATCAAACAAATGCCCTAAAATAATATTTTGTCTTCCGGTCATCTTTCTTAACATTTAACTATAGGAAATGCCATTAGTCTAAAAATACTATAGATAGAACGAGTGCTTCTTTGTTGAAACTATTCTTAATGTACCAATGTGTTAAATTAAAATTTCTAGATTCCGTTTCTTTCCTAACAAAGATCAACCATCTTCTCCAATTATTTAAGGTAAATGTGAAATGATAATTTCAAATAACAATTACTAAAAGAAAATTCATTTCAGCAGATTAAATAACTGATATTTAACAATGAAAAAAGAATGAAAGATTAGAAAAAATATATATATATAGCTTCTATTTAGTGATAGTAAAATATATTTATCTTTGAGAAAATTAATATTTCTAATGTAAGATTTTAAAACTTCTACGGATGAGTGAAAAAATAAAATAAAAAAAGAAAATGTAAAAAATAAATGAAATAAAAATATTTATTTTAAAATAAGTTGACAAAGCATATGAAGACAACACAATTGAACAAGATTTATTTGAATCATTAATCTATTCGATCATCTAGCATAGTCCTCGTTTGCAAAGTCATTAATCTGTCCGCCACGCAATAAGTTCATTCTGGTACCTCCGAGCCGATACATTAATCTCACCATCCCTTGCACTGATGCAACATTAAAGGCAGCTATACACGTCCTAAATCAGAATAAAACATAGCCAATTTCCAAGTTTGTTGCATTAAACCATTCATTTAAAAAATCTACGGTAATTGTAAGAAAAGATATTTTTTAAGAGATTGTACAGATATATACATAATTAATTAAATAAAATAATATCTTGAAAAATAAGCAATATTCTAAATAATGAGAGAAATTATGAATAACTTAGATCAATTGTCGCTATAGTGATAGTTGGAGAAAGGTGATCAACGTTGATTATTTAATTACTAATATATTTATATACAAACAGATGCGTTATCAATGAAGTTGCTGCTGATTTATCTTTACCAGCCTGGGTCTCTGTCTTTAGTCAATAACGATACGAAGCTACCTCGCAAGGAAGGTGGAAATAAACATTTAAAGCAATATATTTTTAATATGATTGACGAAAACAATGTTCTAGCTTCCAAAAAATTTCACGTTAGCTAACATTGTAATCTCCTAAACCTAATGCATTTTAGTTCCATAACACATTGACACAACTTCAATTGAATGGTAAATAGAGTTAAATTAATTATTGATAACTAATCAAAACATGTCTCATACAATCAAACATGTGCCCTATATTAGCCTTTTTATAATCTACCCAACAGGGTCTTCAATCTAGGATTAAAGAAGAACTAGTTCATTTTTTATCGACTACCTTGCCATTTCTGGCATTCAAACAGTTGAAACAGTTGTGGGAGGAAGGAGAGAGGGGGGTCGGGTTGTTCTAGAGATACAACCAAAATTATTCTAGCCAGAAGGAGATTCAACCCACCTGGGCCAGATTCAAGCAAGTGTCACTAGACTCAAGAATGTTAAGTTTACATTTTAACAAACTCAGCTATCATAACCTCAACAACTATTTAATTTCATTCAACTAATTTATTAATTGATTCAACTATTTCATTCGCTACTATTTTGCAAGATAAAATATATGGTTACCTGCAAAAATGGCGATATTGTTGCTGATATCGATACAGAAGATAATAGGTTTGAACAGGTAGAGAAGTTTAGGTATCTAAGGTCTACAATAACAAGAGAAAACAAAAGAGAAGAGAAGATTAAGGTTAGACTGAAAGTGGGAAATGTTTGTTATTTTTTGGTGACAAAACTACTAAGCTCGCGCCTCTTGTCCCGGAAATTAAAAATTAGAATCTATAAAACCATTATCTAACCTACAGTTCTTTATAGATGTGAAACATGGCCGCTTACATTGAGGGATGAACAATGTCTTAAGGTTTTTGAAAATAAAGTATTGCATAGAATATTAGGACCGAAGGATGAGTTAACTGGAGAGTTTATGATGAGTTACACAACGCCAAACTGCGTGAACTGTATCTGGTTAATATAATTGAGATAATAACATCGCGGCGAATCAAATGGGCTTATAAAATTGTTGGACTTAGTAATAAAAGAATTCCTAAAAGGTTAATATTTGCTGTATCGAATGGTAAACGTCCGAGGAATAGACCGAAGCGAAGGAGGGAAGATTGTGTTAAAGCCGATCTGAAGTGACTGGGTTTGGACTGCGAACGGTGGAGGGAGGTGTGTAATAAGCGATTGGTGGTGTCGGCATTGAACCTTCGGGTTTGCAAAGCCTTTTATTATTATTATTATTACTTCATTTGCCAGATTCTAGTACGCATAGCTCATGAATGTTAAGATTATGTTTGAACATACTCAGTTATTATGACCTCAACAACTAGTTTATCCTCAACAACACAGGAATAGATTTTTTTTTTTTTGAGAAAACTAGTTTGATTAATTTTTGTGTTGTATCCTTGGTTTATGATGGAAACATTAATAATAATAGATTTCAGTCTTGTTATTTTAATTTTATATTTCATATTTTTTTTTGTTTTGTTTTGTTTAGCAACTTAATAAAATAACAAATAGTAATAAGTCTTTCTAATATGGCTAAAATATCCTGATATATAAAAATATTGACATACCAAATTACTATTTTGATGTATTTTAAAAACTATCAACATATTTTTTCAATGTAAATACAGCAATAGAATTTTTTTTGTCACAGAACAATTAAGTAATGATGAAGATAGATCCAAGATGGCGTTATTCCTCTACTCAAAACAACAAGCCATAAATGTTCAAATTAACAACAAAACTAATACTTACTAAGATCACAATCTCAATGGGAAACAGCCAAACCCTTAAGTGCATTAGATCATAAAACTTATTTCTTCAGCTTTTAAAAACAAGCAATAAGATCTCCATTAATGCAAAGGAGATGGCCAAACATAAAGCATCCAGCAGATACAAAACCTAAAATAACTAGTGCCTCTAGGATTATAGAAAATTAAAGCTCAATTTAATTTTGATGTAGGAAGCAATTTGATCTTTGACAACTAAGCAATGAAAATATTGTGTTCAGAAAAAAAAAGTGCTAAACTAAAAACATACAAAATTTAGTGAAAAACAAAAGTTTCTATAGTAGACTGTATAATTTAAAAGAAAAACAAAATCACAGGAAAAATAACTAGAAAAGTTTACTATCATAACTATTCTATCAAATAAGCAATAAGATATAATATACACGTATATTTTCTAAGATCTAGAGGTTAAGTCAATAAATGAACAACTATATTTGGGGACGTTCTGAGACTTTATTGTTCTAATATTTAGGCGATTGTTGAAAATTAATAATCGCTACAATTGAAAACTAAATAAATGGAGAACTAGTAAATTGTAGCACACAGTACATAAGTATTATCCAAACTTTTATTAAGTTCTTTAAGCTTTTAATCGTGTATTTAATTATCAAATGTAATGAATACCAATTTTCAACAATTGGCATGAATTTTGAGAACAATGAAGTCTCAAAATATAGTTTTTTATCGACAGAAACATAATAATCTTAAAAAATATACATAATTGAACTATTGAGAAAATAAAAATTAATGCACTTATTTTTTATTTTTTTTTTACTTTTATTAATTTCCTTTAAATTGAACAAGCATGCAAAGCTAATTTTGCAACACGGAAAAAAATTGGGCAACATACCAAAATTTATCTTGTCCTTGCTCTTTCGACAAGCATGATGTATGTAAATAAAAAAATACCACATCATTAATGTTTTTATCAAATGGCTAAAAATAAAAACATAATAAATTCTGTTTAGTAAAGTTTAGCTTAGAACAGTTGAAATGTATATTTTAATAGAAATTGGATACAATTTGAGAATGTAACAGTGCAAGATTCGAAAATTAATTTAAACAAAATTAATTAGGAACAGCCTTAATTTAAACTGCAAGTATTCAATCTGAAAACATTAAATGGTTTTTAACCATTTTCTAATTCAATTCTACATTAGGATTTAAAAAGTAGAAAAAAATTAACTAAATACATTTATATATGTGTCCATGAGTGTATATATAAATATATTTATATGAACACTGACACTTATACAAAACAATATTTAAACCAATGTTAATGTTTAGAATTTTGTGGCAGAAAATAATTGATTCAAGATGAAAAGGAAAAAATAAATTCTTCATTATTAAGTTTCTCATCAGAATTGCTCATTGATATATAGTAACACATCTTTCCTTACAATGGATTA